CACTTGCATATTGTTAGTATTTTTTTTTTTTATTATCTGTTTTGCCTCAAGATCACGAGTCATCGATGCCACTGTGTGGGGGGGGGGGATACAAGATAGTGAATTTTAAGGAAAATTAAAAAGCCCATTCCTTGCACCTTGGACTGCCACGCTGTCCTTTCTCGCCATCAACAGTTAAATGTTACGAACTGTGAAGCAAGCTTGTGACCGTGACATTCCTACATTGGGGTCTTTTTTTGTTTTTGTTATTCTGAAGCAGTGGGGGAGAAGAGAATGTAGCACAGGGTCAGGGACCAGGCATTATAGAGGTGCATTATACCTGTAAAATCCCATAATGCATCAGTGAGCCATCTTAACCCTGTCCACTGTCAATGCGTCCACTGTGAGAGTCAGCAAGTGAGGAGAACAGACTTCTCAGTGGACGCTTTGTAGCTGTACTTTCCGGTTCCTTCTTTCGTCAGTACTGATCGAAGGGGAATCCACTCCAGACATTCGAGGGTCATCAGATGCAGAATCCATTTCATTTCTTTTTTTTGTGTTATAATTATCTTAAAATGTCCAAAACGGTTCATCGTCAGAGTGGCGGCGCTCTTGACTTAAGTTCCTCACCAGGAAAATTGAGTTTCTATTTAGATCATAACATTCCCAGACTGTAAGCATGTAGAGAATATGTAACCGAGTGCCCTTTCTGATCTGTGTGCACACCACCGTCTCCTTTTCTTTCCACTAATGGAGTTCATAACCTCGCCTCTATAAAGTGCGTCTAAGTGCCAGTGCATCTGTAAATACATGGTTGAAATGTTGCCTTTCATTTGCACTCAAATGATTTGAAATGTTTCTGCTACCTTCGAATAAAAACCGTCTAAGACCACCTTTGCCTTTTTGTATACAAATCCCTCGCTTCCTGGGATAGATAATGTGCTAAGAAATACATAAAAGTACAAAGCTATATGCTAAGAAATATAGTTTTAACCCTTGTGTTGTGTTTGAAAGCTGTTAACGTTCATGGTGTTCGCGGGTCAATTTTGACCCATGATTTATCTCAGTCCAAAACACTCAAATAATGACTATCATCCAATATTGTTTTTACTACATCATAACTAACTTATTACGCATTCATAAACGTACAGTCCTGTTATTGTATGGCCCAAAAACACATTACACCACATATTGCACACGTGCATGTGTGAGTTCAATTGTTAGTGTACATATTCTTTGTGGAAGGAGGAGTTACCGTGGGGGGAGGGGGGGCTGCGGGAGGGGAGACCTTGGCCTTTTCTCAATCGCGAGGATGCTTGCTTGGTAACACATGTCTTCCGAGTCACTTGCTTCAGAAGCTAGGCAAGAATCCTTCCTGGCAATCGGAAAACGAAGAGTGGAACAGGCTAGCAAGTGTGCAGGTGTGCGTCATGAGAGGCTCCGCCTTACATTTTCCTCCACAGATTTGGGCTAATTGGTCCGTGCGCAAAGCATTGTGGGGATTTGAAGGACGCGAAGTCTACACATGTGCAGCCTCGAAATTACCCCCAAACCAAGGACGCGGCCTCGGTGGAATTCAAAGTATGCTGGAGATTGGAACAGTCCTTCGGCGGCACTCGATGACGTAGTATCCTTGAAATATTGGCTTGGAAGCCAGTTTCCTCGCGATTGAGAAACGGCCCAGGTGCATGTTGCGAAAAAATGTGTTGCAGTGGATGAAGGGGGTGGGGGAGGGGTGTCTAAAGTCAAAGTTTAATCTTGATTGGGCCAAATTTGACCCCGAGTGACCCACAACATTCTGCCGGATCTTCCCAGACCCCAAATCCGAATTATACACTTTTTAAAAATTTTTTTAGAGACCTTCAGAATTAGCTAAAAGTCAGTTTTGTAGTGTTTCTAAAGCTGTGGTGGAGGATATCATGCAGCCTTGTTGCGACAAAAAAAACTAGAGCGTAATTATTATATAATTTGAAAATGCAACGGGTCACGGGAGACCCGAACACAACATAAGGGTTAAAGGAGTTAATGGCTTTTGCATTCTCTTATAAATGTCAACGTAATTATTATTTGAACAGACTATACAAGAAATAACAATGCTGTGCAGATTATGAATTCACAAGAATCAATTCACTCCAAGAGTTGGACACTTTTATTTACTCTGCTCATTGGGAAATATTTCCTCTTCACAAAAATAGGAACGCATTTACATTTATAGTATATTCTATATTTTAATACATAATGATCTTTCTATTTGAGCTTCAGAAAACACATCAGCTCGCGGCTTACAAATGAAACATGAATTTTTTTCTGACTGTCAGGAATGCTCCCTGACCTGCAGCGATGTCCATCCCCAAATAAAAGAACGTTGGACTAATGGCAGTCATCTTAAAGAGGAATGACATCGATCGTGTTTCGATATGTGTTCGTGATAGACTCTTATTTTCAGACACTCAGGTCTTTCATTACGATCCAGTTTGCTGTTTCACCGACAAAAAACCCATCAGATCTCCCCAAAAAGCATCCTTTCAAACTTCAGCCTCACAACAATTCAAAAATACATGACTGATATAGATTATTATCCTGTTTCTCAACATTACTGTGTTCATGGTAAGGCAGCTGGGTGAGACCTTAGTAGGGGGAACACTCACTACCTCAGTTATTAACCTTTGCACCCTGATCTCTGGACAAAGGAAAGGGTGAATGCACCAGAAACGGGAAGAAAAAATATTCTTGAAAAAGTGATTCAATTTCCTCACTAATTACCGTGTACATCCTCCAGAACCATCCGCTCTTAAAGGTACAGTACACCCCCAAATTCATATTTCCCCTTTACCTGTAGTGCTATTTATCAATTTAGATTGTCTTGCTTGTCCAAGTGAGAAATGGCTGTGAAAATATCTGCCTGCTCTCGCATATAATGTAAATCCAAACCATCTTAATTGATAAATAGCAAAACAAGTAAGAGGATATTAATTAATATTTTAGATTTTGTGCTGAACTGTCCCTTTAAATGTTACCCAGTCTAACACTAACGGTAATTCATCGCCCCATAGTGTACAATAGTTTTCAACCAGCAATGCGTCATCTTCTCAAAAGGCAACAATGGTTTATTTGTCATGCAAATTGCAGTCGGACCAAATCCACCACTTCCAACATCCATGTAAATTCTGGCTTATTCTTTCATATTCAGTTCATGCAAATTAAAACCTTCCACTTACATAATACTAGTCTGTTTAATGGTCAAAATTAATAAAACATTTTAGACTTTAAAGCAACAAAAGAGAAAGGTTTTGCATCTCCGAGTGGCAGGAGATACTGGAGCTGTACCAGACAGCTGCTGCAAATTCATTTGACATTTTCCGTCTTCCTGATGTCACCCATTCACCGTCTTTGAGAAATTAAGGGGGTGTGTAGTCACTTTTTAGCACTGAAATCTCAAGGCATCTTCAATTAAAAGCCCAATATGTGCACACATTTCCCTTCCTCACATCACTTATCCTGTAATAACATGTCATCATCCTTTCTTATACACACTTCAAGGCAGAACATTGACTTTTCCTCTTATAATGACTTCATTTATTTACTGAATTTATAATTTATTAAGAAAAAAAACTCCACTCAAAATAAAAACATCCATTCCAGGCTTAGTAAAGCGTATAAAAAAAGATGTATCAAACATAGCTTTTGAAAGGTTGGCTATATAAAAATGAAACAAACCCATTAAAAAAAAAATAGAGACAGAATAATGAATGAGCAACCAGTTATCTTCATTTCACTACATGGGACGATGGCTTGTACACCGCTTTCCATTCCTATGATTATAACATAAACAACTAACAAACTAAACACAATTTCTTATTTTTTCTTCAGACAGAAAACAGAAAGTTGTTTTGGTTGAGCAAGGCTGGACTCGTTCTGACTTGTGATGAGGTAATGTTATCTTTCAGAACAGAATCTATCCGTCCTGCACTCGTGTCGTGTTGAAATCACCCGACTGAACTCCACTAAAACAAGTAGAGGCCGAGGACGATGTACTGCACCTTTAAGAAGGGAATACAAGGGGCTAGTATAATCAAACCCTATCATGTAGCATCTCTGCTGGTTGCATTCAGTCCTGAGAAACTTATTTGTGATTAAATGAACCATGTAAGGAATTAAATGCAACGAGCCATGATATATGAGACAGGTTGCACATTATCCAGCTTACTACACGGCTGCTCACTAAATAAATCAACAATTTGACTCACACTAGATTTAATTTTCTTATTTTTGTTCTCTTGTCTTTACGTGGAACAATTTGGCCATCATGGATCCAAAGTTTTGTGCTAACCAAAACATATCAAATGTAATATTCAAATAGTATTCCACAGTGTTTTTATGAAGGAGGGACACTAATGTTTTTTTTGTTGCAACAACTGACGTTCCGGGCTTCTTCCCGCAGATGAATACGACTGCACATAGTCCCTTCTTCAGAGCAGCAGTCTGCTATCGAAAAAGAACAGACTGTTGAATGTCCAAATTGACCAATCAGAATCAAGTATTCAGCTTAGCTGTGGAATCAAGAGTGGTGCAGGAATGAGTCTTAAAACACGGAAATTACTTAGTATTTTAAAACGTCCTGGTCTCCAAGTTAGCCATTTTGAAAATGTTTTTGGTTTGACCGCTGAAATAAGGTCTGTAGTTAACACAAGCTGAAGAGACGTTCACAACATAAAATGCATCAGTAAATACCCCCTGCAGATGTCAACAAGTGACGATATAAACTACTAAACGGAATCTTGCGTCATCCTTTAGCTTAGCGCAGGTAATGCACAGCCATGCAACAGCCATATGATCGTCAAGTGGTGTTAATATGTGGCGATTACCATGCTAAACAACTCGTGTAAAGCATCATAAATGTGTGTTTGCCATAGATCATATTTTCTGCAACAAACTTGAATCCAATGGAGCAATCCCATTATCCAGGGACCCCCTGCGATGCTAACTTCTGGGTTAGCCTACAAAATATGTCCTCACTGCACCACTCTGCTAAATCTCAATGGATTTGGATTGCAACCACCAGACATGATATGATACGACTTCCCTTTCTCGATATCCCCCTTTCTGAGATATTCATCACTTGTGTTGCCTGTCTATGCATGAGGTGCTGATCTAAATGACCCCTCCTCCATCACTTCTCAAATACTAATACTCTGGAGAAGGCATGAAAAGTACACGTTAATGTGAAGCACCTTGAGGTCAATCCACTCAGAAAAAAAGGGGTTTTCTCACAGATCTCCATGGTCGGGATGTCGGTGTTGAATCGTCGGTTTTTGTTCAGCCTTCAGCAAAGTTTGTGAGACATTCGGGTCAACATTCGCTCCATGACCACAGCTCAGAGACAACAGTAATAACATTAACAGTCCACTTTTAACCACAAAATCTTAACAACAAAACACTCCTTACACACACTGTATCTGACAAACACACACACACACACACACACACACACACACACACACACACACACACACACACACACACACACACACACACACACACACACACACACACACACACACACACACACCAAAGAAAAACACACAAGGAAAACAAAGAAAACGGGAAATGATTCATTAGTTTCAGAATCCAATGACATAACAGTGACAATGATTTCAGCTTCTTACATGTGGATGTACAATAAAAACAGGTTTAGGTGAGATAACAAAGTGTAAGGACATGAATCACAAGAACAAGAGGCAGAGAGAGAAAGTGAAGTGCTTTCTTTAAAAAAATATATCATGAATTGCTTCCTCACAGGAGAACATTCAGACAAAAGCTGAAATATATATTTAAAGGACCAAACATTAAACTCAGATGTGTTCTCAGTGCTCTAGAGCTTTTTTCTCCAATCAACTGAACCTTTTTAAAGAAAGCAAACGCAAACAGAAAAACCTTGACTAATTGTTCTCATCTCTGTTTTTTTAAAACATGTTTTTTTTTAATAAAACTTCTTTGTGAGGTGAGAGAAAATCTGAGAATCTGCTCTGAACAGAAAATGTAATTAGCATTTAATTTTTCTTAAACGATAAATAGACTTTTGTCACCTTCACACTGGATAACTGTATTTTTTCACTTTCTTTTAGAAGTGTAGAATACAGTTATAATCTGGAGTTGTCTACCTATTAGAAAGTATTAGAAAATAAAAAGTAATTTAAAAAGCAGAACATGATTGTTATTGACTGCTCCGGCAGCAGTTTTGAAGAGTGCAGCGGGAGAAATTACCCCCTGCGACAGCATCATAAGAGCTGGAAAAACTCCCCCATTTCCGCTTGTCAGGAGAAAAAGCCCAGTTAAGAAAATGCACCCGCGGAGCCGAACCATCGGCCTCGCAGCAATAAACCTGAGCAGCGGAAGCGTTCACGCACAGATGGACAGATTGTGCAGACAGACATGCAGAGTCATGAACAAACAATGGGGAAAAGAGACCGCCTGAGAAGAATGCAAATAACAGGCCTGAGCACACGCACATAAATGGACCCCCAAATATACGCTTTGTGTCTGGAACACATTTACAGTCTGTGTGGCAGCACTTTCCAGCTCCCTTTGAGAGCCTGTCAGAGTTTGACAAAGTCAACAGATGCAAAAACAAAAGATGCTGATGGGGAAGATAGTAAGCCTCCCTCGTCTCCATCTCCCCCTTCCTCCCTTCCCACCTGTGCTGTTTCCTTGGCTGGCTGACTGGCTGCCTACAGTGAGAATATTGAATGAAAGGCCTTCTCTATGCATCCAGTCAGTCAGTCACCTAGGGAAAGGGGATTTGGATGGGGAGAACGAGCCAGGCTTCAGGCTTTGATCCGCAGGTGTTATGACAGAGCCTCGGGCTGAGGAATCTGGATAGTCTCTTCCTCAGGCCTGTCTCTCCGTCTACCTGCGCTTTCATGGCTTCCACTCTGCGGCATCCAGCTCATTTCAAACAACCACTGTATATTTGAAATATATCTTTTTCCAGCGCAATGTTTTTTTTTAACCCCTGGGTTCATACTGGAAGAAAACAATCTAAAAAATGAATATCTCTCTGAATCCAGCTCCCACGCTGTCCTTTTCTTTGACTTTATATGATGCAGTCTTGTGATGAAAGGAACTGCTTCATGTGTTTGTCAGTGCGCTTCTTGCCATATCCCTTGAGGATTGTTTTATTTATTGTATGTGTGTTTATGCCCATGTATCAGGTCGGGTTTACCTGCGCTGGGTCCACGTCGTTGAGCATCACTATGGACGTGCAGTGGTAATCCAGCACCAGTCTCCAGAAGTCCTTCACTGTGTTCGGTAAAGGGTGCTGGGTCACGATGAATGCAGACGGCTGCTTGTAACTCTGGGGGGAAAATAGAGGAAAAGCAAAAGAAAGATTTGAAACCCTGTCGCTAAATACGCCTCATGCATATTATATTGTTTGAAAGCTGACAATTTACCAAGAATAAACGCAGTCACTATTTTTAAAATGACCTCCATCCTTTAACCTCCTTTACACTGAGTGCTGTTTTCTAATGGAGATTCCGTGTCTCGGGAGATTCTATCAGGACGCTGCACTTTTAATGTGGTTCCTGGATGGTGGTGACAGAGGATCCTGTACCCAAAGGGTCATGTGCTCAATCCAGGCAGCAGCCAAAAAGTCCATCACTAGACCCACGCTCTGTCAAGGTGCTCTTTGTGAGGTCCGCCCTGAAGACATTTAACACTTTAAAATGGCTATTCATTGCTTAAAGGCTTTTTTTTTTTGTGTTGTCCTGTGGTGCTTTCCACTTACTGTGACAGATAGCGCAGCTGTTAATTTAGGACGTGTCAAAGTCAGATCATAGGGCCAAGTTAAACTACATGGCATTTTCCATTCAAAGCAATGTTGGTGAATAACACAATACCACCTCAAGGTCTATTCATCTATCAGATATATATAATCGGTCCAATTCTGTTACATGATTTTCATTTGCAGATGGAGTTTTCGGTTGTCATGAAATAAGAATAGTGTGTATTTAACTTATAAGCAAAAAAGTGACGAACCATAGATTTTCCAGAACAGCTTTGAAATGACCTCAACTCAACTGGCCGTATTATGCTTTTTTATACTCTCCATATATTTGTTATTAACATCTCCACTTGTGTAAGAACAATAAATTAAACCTTGTTTGTAAATGCTTTGTATTTTGTAGGAAGGTGGGAGGCTGGTAAGTGGGTGGAAGAACTATTTCATATGACAGATATTGTTGTTTCTTGTCTTGTGATGTTGTCTCTTTACATCTCACTCTACAACCTGAGGTGTGCATGTGAGAACTTAAAGTACTAAACTGAAGTCAAGTTAAAGCCTCAAGGTTACAGCATTGCCTCTTGTATAAGATGCTGAAACACCAATGTCAGCACTTACAGTAGCCTTAATATCCTGTGATGTGTTCCATTAGCTATCCAAGGCAAAATACCTGCTTTGACATCACTGAATAGCGTTTGACAAGGAAAGCAACATGTGGGAACGTTTTAGCTCGCTCAGCTGCAATTTCATGCCTTGTGACCGAGTGTCAATTTATTAATTTAAAATCACAGGGATTCAGTTAGCAAGAATTAGAATGGGGCTACAATGCTCCTTTTAATGAGTCCGTGGAGTGAATAATCCTAAAAGGTTAATCGTTCCTGTAAATTCTTATTCTTTATCAGGATCCCCATTAGCACTAGCATGAGCATTGGCTATTCTTCCTGGGGTTTCTCACACACACAAAACATACATAAAACAAAACAGTTCATAATTTCATGCAATTTACAGTTCTATGAAGTGAAAACTAAAATGGTCATCCAATTTGAGCCATCATACTGTAAGGCCAAACAAAAGAATACAAATCATTGTACTTAATAATACATACGGTTACATTTCACTTAATAATACTGAGATCATTTTTTAGCAACCTTTTGAAATGTACTTGAGAATTTTCCTGAATGATATGGACAGGTAAAAAACTCCAGCTGACCATGGCTCTGACTGTTTTCTGTCCCATATTTGATTTAGATTGGGGTTGTTAGAGCCAGTATTTTGATTTTATAAGAAAGGTCACCTAATTGTGACGTCTGTAGTCAACGCACTATAAAGGACTACAATTCCCACGGCGCCTGTGCTAAAGCCACAGTGATGGGAAACCTGTTGAGACGCCGTCGAGGAACAGTTTTTAACCGTACACGTACATACAAATTGTATAAGTACCCTTTAAGTTAGGAAGTTATAAGCATTATCAAAAAAAGAAAGAATACCTAAGTTGTTTGTTATTTTATTTGAGTTTTGCCTATTTCTTTTCAATATTGTAAAGGCCTATTTTCTTTGTTGTATGTGCAAAAGTTTGTTATTTTATTTTGAGCAAACACATCGCAACATGATCTAAACCATCGGAGGCCAAGCAACACTTCAAACTGTGAGTAATTTAAAAGGAAAGAAACCAGTTAGAACTGTCTGTTTAAGGCGTCTAGTGGCTTGATGGAAAAACAAGGAAGGAAGCCACGACAGATACGTTTTCTTTTAATTGTTTAATATGCGTTGTTTTATTAGTTTACATGGCCTACATTATGTGTTGAATATTTATCTACTCACCTTAGTTGTTTACGCCCCTGAATATATTTGTTGACACCCCTTGTTCTCCTATTTTCTATATGATGTCTGTTTGTGGGGAAGGGGTTGGTTTTAGACGGGGGAAGCTAAACCAGTTCAACTGATGTGTCGTGGCTTAAAAGTCTCTCGAGAAGCCACTTCCAACAAAATGGAAACTATGAAATGATCTCAGTGTTGGATAGACAGTTTTGTTTCTCAATTAACTTGTTAAAAAGAGTGCTTAACCCATTTGCATGTGTTTTGGTCATGTACGTCTCTGCACAACTACTGGACTTCAATTGTCAGTACTTTCTCAGAGGTAACTGGGACGCTTATAGAGCCTAATGCCATTACTGCAGTATTTGGCATCCCAAGCCTGCCTTTGCCTCGGCTCAAAGCAGACCTTATAGCCTTTGCAACATTACTAGCAAGACGTTTTATTCTAACAAGATGGAAATCACCAACACCACCTTCCCACACTATGTGGATGAGGGACATTTTTAATAATTTGCAGCTTGAAAAAATCCGTTACACATTGAGAGGCTCCTCCGGGAAGTTCCGAAGTGTCCGGGACCCATAAGACCCGAATATGTATGTATGTATGTGTTTGTATATATTTATAAAACGGACAAGTAAAATCAAGCAATCTGATTGGTTCTTAGCCGTGATATACTGAGCGTATACCACGGGTAGAATTGTAAGTTACTTTTCACAACAAGTCAGTATCCCTCCGCGTCTGAGACAAACAGTATACCGTTGGGCTGAAAAGCAAACTGCCTGCTTCGCGTCGGGCCGAACCACGCCCCTTAGCTGTGATATAATGAGCATATACCACGGCCTGTCGTGAGCTATTGCTTAAATATATTTTTTATTATTTTATATGTACGTATATATATGTATATGTGAAATTTTTTATTTATTTTTATTTATTTGTACTCTTACCTGAAGAGAATGAGGTTATGTGTTTGTTTGTATTTTGTTGTTTTTGTCTTGTTGTAATGTTTCATATGTTATGTGATCTGCACAACTGTAATGTGATACTGTCGATCACAACCGCCCTGTCATCTCTGTTTAATTTGTGTACGAAAATCAATAAACAAAGTTTGTATAAATAAATAAAGAGTGCTTAACTTATCAAGCATTGCACCTGGTTTAAAGCCAACATCAATCCAGCAAAACCAGAGATGTTGTTTATTTAATTTCACATATTCTTCTTTCTTGTCCAAATCTGAAGCAGACATTATTCAGCGACTCGTCTGCTGACAGTAAATGATCTTGTGTTGTGCTAGAAGTAGGTAATATAGCCCGGAGCTGCTAGCCTGAGGCAGAGGCGCTGCTCAGCTCACTTCTTGATAACTCCACAGCCTCCTTTCATTTTCTTAATTGTAGCCTTCAGTCCTCACTGACCCTCGCAGCTATGCATGAGAGTGTGTGCAGCTCCCTGTGGAGCTCAGAGAGATGAACACAGCTGCTTTACATAATGCAGGAGCAGGCTACTCCCCAAGACCTGTAAACACACTTTGATGTGTAAAACTGTTGGAGCTCTTCTTTTAAAGTCAGAGGACATTTTTCTTTTTTGCCCTTAAGTTTGTTTGCAGTTGCAGAAAAAATGAGAAAAAATAAGAATTGGATCTTCTTCTTATATCTATATATTTAAAAGGGCAATGGATGCTTTTCTTCACAGGAGCCCCCCCAGGTGAGGAGTGTGTTTTACAGGTACATATGAAATCTGTTATGCATACTTAAAAGGACCCTCACTTACGTCCATCAAATATTTCCAAGTTGGGTTTAATCAAAAATGGCATGATTTTAGACCAACTGGCCTCTCAACCATTTTTTAATTGTATTTTTTAAATAAAATGACATGTTTGTTTGTCTTTGAAATCACCGATATACACAAATGACAGACCTCAGGGGTCCAAGTCATTCCCTCCTATCAGTGAGTCACCTGGCTTTGACGTCAAGTGTCTAAAAATACCCTGTTTTACAAACGAGGATTTCTCATGACTGCTTTGGTGAGCGACTGCTCCTTTGATATGCTCCCTAGAGTTGAAGTCTTTCAGTAGCAAAGAGGACCTGGGGACGCACTGGGTGTGACATTTCTGACGTGAGACGATGAGGATTAGGGGAGCTGAAATGCTTAAACCCCGCAGAAGAAAGACCTACTGTGCGTCAGTTAAGTGATGGAGCAACAGGTAGGGCTGCTCAATTAATCATATTTTAATCGCAATTACGATTATGGCTTCGCAACGATTAGGAAAACAACGTAATCGAAAGATAACGATTATTTATTTGTTTTTATGAATTTTTTTTTTTTATTGGTTTTTCAGTTGAGTTATACTTAAAGTTCAGGGTAATCAACTGTTAAAAATATACTGTTCAAATGTTTTTTCTCCAATAAATTCATGTTTTCAAAGTAAATGGATAATCGTTTTTAATAATCGTGATATCAATTTTTGACCCAATTAATCGAGATTATGATTTTTGCCATAATCGAGCAGCTCTAGTAACAGGTAGATGTAGTAGTTGTAATGAAGTCACCTTGGAGCTGATGATGGTGCTGTGGATGCCGTTGTCGCTGATCTTGATGGTGATCTGCCTCTCTGAAAAGTCAGGTCTGATGAACGGGGGCTGAATTTTGACATGGGGCTTTTTCTTGGGGTCCAACATGTACCTATTGAAAGAAGAAGAAGAAGCGAGTCATGAACAGAGTACCACACTCACAGTTGTAAGTGCAGCCATCACATTTGAACGGTCTAGTGCCTCACTGAAAGCAACCAGGATGACAAGTGTGCAGCTCTGAAAGAAACAGCACACAATGTACTATTACAGTTCTCACATCAAAGTACAAACACTCAGGAGAAGGAGGGGGCGGGGCTTCATGACCGCTCAACAGGAGAGAAACATTCACAGCAAACTGAATTTACATCTTCAAATCTTACTGCACCGTCTTTAGAGCATCCTCTTTGTTTCTACATCAGTAATACTCTGTGTTTCAAGCACTGGCTGTGGCGCAGTGGATGGACAGGTTCAAACCCCACTGCAGTCAGCATGTCGTTGTGTCCCTGAGACACTTCACCCCAAATTGCTCCTGTGGGGATTGTCCACAGTATTGAGTATATAAGTCAGTTTGGATACAAGTGTCTAACAAGTAACATGTAATGTACCTAAGGGTGAAAGAAATGTGATAACTTCAACTATTATATATACTGCCGGGTTGCTTAATCTATAAAGATACAATATCATTTAGAAGTTAATCTGAATAAACATCTGATTAATGCGTTAAAATAAAAGTAGTAAAGTAAAAACTTCAACAGCAGCTTTAAAATTATAGTCAAGTAGTATAAAATGACTATGAAGTAAAGTACCTCAAATTGCACTTAATTACAGTTCTTGAGTACATGTACATTGCCAGTTTTTGTCACATAGGATTACATGAGAATATTGTAGTATATACGGACATATGACATCACATGTATGATGTATTATATTGTATTTAGGTAACTACTGTAAAACCATGAGTGGGTTAACAGAAAACTTAATTGGCAGTTCCAGTTTCCTAAATGGGAAAATTTGCTGTGTTTGCTTAAAAATATCTTTAAATACTTTAACTCCAAATACTTTTAAAGTACATTTTAGTACTTGTATTTAAATACTTTTACTTAAGTACCATTCTTGATGCAGTACTTGTACTTGAAATGGAGTACTTTACAGTGTTGTATTGGTACTTTTATGCAAATAAAAACTCTGAATATGTTTCCAAGCCCTTCATGTATGAACACATGAATACAACATATGGAAATGTACCATAAACATTACTAGTTATTGATATGCTGCAATATATACTTCACTATGAACCCATGTGTGCCTTCCAGAGACACACAGTGCAGAGTGCAATGGTGGAATGAGTGCGGTTTCATTTGTCGTTATAAAAAACACATTTCAAAAACAATATCCTGGCAGAAAAACAGCATTAAGTGAGTCGTCCGGGGCCGTTCATAATGAAATGGCTGTCAGTGTACAGTAATTGCTTTAATATTTAATGGCGGTGAAGCTTGGGGAGTGAAACATGGGATGTGTTATATCATCCAACACATTCACTAATGAACCAACACAAAAAGCCATGTTACTCAATAATTAAAACAGATTTTTAACTCGACAGTTCATTGAATCAGAAACCTTCCTCAGGGACGGTGCAACAACTTAACACCAGATGCTTGTAGCACCGCATGTCACACACACCTGCTGTTATCTCTCCGCAGTCACACTGTTGATTTTTATGGAACAGGCATCGTCCCCATGGGTTGTAAAACTTGTGTTTGGGCTTTTAGCGATGCTTTGTGTGAGTAAAAAGCCCGCTCTGCGCTCTGTTTCTCTTTTACTGGTGTTCTTCAGACTGATTCAATTCTCTCTGCCATCTGCCGCCCCCCAGGGTTGCTGGCAGAACCACACACACACACACACACACACACACACACACACACACACACACACACACACACACACACACACACACACACACACACACACACACACACACACACACACACACACACACTACAGAGACATGGTGCTACACTGTTGGATTTGCACGGATGTGACAGGATTTTATTGGCTGTAACCCCACTGCCAATGCATAGGCATACAATATGAGAGGTAATCATGTAAGATATGATACTTTAATATTCTTAAATTTTTAACTCATTCAAAACTTCCCAAACTTCATTTTAGATTATTTATTTTTAAAGAACCTTTATTGCTACTGATGGACAGTAATCCTGCACACCTTTGAGTTGTGTCAGGCATTATTTAGTTGAAAAATCACCCAGAACCCCCAGTTTGTTCATGTTATTTTTGTAAAACATTTTGTTTAACAGGCATCATTTTTATTTTTTGTAGAACTTGACATCTTTATTTTTCAACTCAATGCTTCATGAGAAATCCGAAATACAAAACACTTTTAAGAACAAAGTGGAAATCTGTTGGTAAACCTGTTTGAAAGTCTATCCAAAATTTAGTCTGCTTTCATGCCATCATTTGAATATGAAATTTGCATCCATATATACCACACACACACACACACACACACACACACACACACACACACACACACACACACACACACACACACACAGAGAGAGAAGTATCTTACCTCGGTGCCAGGGGACTGCATAAGACATAATCCACGTTGCCACAGCAACCTCTGGTGAAGGGATTTACTCCTCCACGAAACTTCCCCGTCACCTGCGGATCACAACGCCTCGTTATGAGCAGAGGAAGGCCACGGTGCACACACACACACACACACACACACATACATATATAAAACAGGCTTGCATACAAACAGGATGACTCATTCTGTTAGAGCATCAGATAATAAGTGTGCATGGGAATCATTGCTGTCCGTATTATAATTGCATTATTCTCCTGTATGTGTCAGATCTGTGGAAAGCAGAGGTTTGCTTTGTGAAGATTCTCCGGATATTTCCCTAAAGCAAGCAGTGTGTGAGTGTGTCGATTTACGCTGGATAAACAGCCGGTGAATTGTGTGTGTGTGTGTGTGTGTGTGTGTGTGTGTGTGTGTGTGTGTGTGTGTGTGTGTGTGTGTGTGTGTGTGTGTGTGTGTGTGTGTGTGTGTGTGTGTGTGTGTGTGTGTGTGTGTGTGTGTATATGTGTGTGAATGTGAACTGTTGATTTATGCTGGATAAACAGCCAGTGAATTGTGTGTGTGTGTGTGTGTGTATGTGTATGTGTATGTGTATGTGTGTGTGTATGTGTGTGTGTGTATGTGTATGTGTATGTGT